TCCTTGCACTAGCACAATGCCTGACACATATAGGTGGTCAAAAAGTATTTATGAGTTTAAAGAAGGAAGGATATGTTCATATGAAGGAATATTACATAATCATATTTTTGAACGATTATATATTTAAATATGTAGAAAAATGCTCACAATATAATGTTAAAAATGTAGAGTACACAATCATACCCTACAATATAGAACATAGAATATTCCGTATGTGTATCTTGGGTGAATGCTGGATTTAAGGTGATTTTTTTATATTTTCTGGGTACTTTTCCTCAGTCATTCAGCACATATTTCTTGATATGTGCAGCAGGCACTGCATATGTTTCTTAAGAGCAAGGCCAGATAGGCCTTCCCTCATGGAGTTTATAAGAGAGTAGGAAGGCAGACATTGAATAAGTAATTACACGCATCATTTACTTTAGTGAACTTATGTTACTTTTATATTCTAGAAAGAAAAACTATGACGCTGATGATTTTAAAGCATCAATGATTGTTTGTAATTTCCAAGATACCCTTTTAGCACAAGAAGAGGGTGATTATAAGAAAAATCCAAATCTCATACAATGTGAATTACCCTTCCAATGAAAAGAAAAATGTTTCAGTTTCCTGTCTGTTGGGATGGGTAGTAATGACAACAATAAATACACAGATTTTTTTCCTAAATAGCATTTTTCTAAAGGAAACTAAGGAGGATAATATCTTGGTGAGATGGAGGTAAGAGTTGTGTGAAGCCTTAGAAAAGTAGAATTAAACATTTAAATGAACTGACTGTGGTTGAAAAGAGAGGGAGAATGTAACATTAACGTAAAATATATATATATATATATATTTTTTTTCCGTGTACTTGTAAGGTTTCAATATATAGAAAACCAACAGCAAAACCTACCCTGTAGATTGATTGTGACCCTAAAAACTTCTTTTAACCAGGATCAGGGATGGAAAATTTTATCCTAAGCTATGGTTTTCTGGGATGTGTTTTGTTTTATTTTGAACAAAGTCCTGAGTAAATCAAAAGGTCTACAGAGACTTGTTTTGGTAACTTAACCATGCTTAATGACTGTGAAGGCGCTCCTCTAAACAGTCTGACCCGTGCTTCCACTGTCGCTTATCCATTTATCAACTTGAGCCTTCGTGCATAGCCACGTGACTCCTTTGACCTTTATCTGCTTCCTAAGTGGAAAAAGTCTCCATGCACGTTAGCTAAGTTAAAGGGTGGCACTATGGTCTGTGGCCTCAAGAGAACGATGCATTTGTGAGGTCTGTTGTGTTGGTAAGATCCCTTGTCCTCTTTCGTGTCCACCTCCTTCTGCAAATTAGGAATGCACTTCCTAAGCCAAGGGTGTCGGAAGGAATAAACAAGCAGCAAATTGATGACATCGCCTCTCACAGTGGGTGGACTGTGTATCACTGTCTCCTTTGTGGACTGATTCAGGTGGCTCCCTCCCAAATGAAGCCTCATTCTCTTCTACTTTTTGGTATGACTAATCATTATATTGGGTGTAATGTATTCAAACCGACCTGAGGCTTTCTGTCATTTGAAAATTTCAGATCTTAGGAACAGTAAGTGAAATGTGGATCTGTTGAACATCACTTTCCATCAATGCCGATACTTTTCTCTTGCATTTGGAATCGTTTTTCATTTGCGAAGGATACTCTTGCTTCAAATTTCCAGAAATTACAGTGCTCTCCTCTTCTCTTCCATTGGTGTTAGCACCCCCTCCTTCCCAATAATGTTTTTAATGTTCTAAGAGATCATCGTCTCAGAATTGTCCTCATGCGGTTAAGTCTTTCTTCTCTGCTTCATTCCACTCTCCTGTCCTAGTGTCTGTACTTGACTTATGGATTAAGACCTTGTTGCACTCCCTAATTATGTAGAGGGTAGCAGAAATTCTTCTGCTATGTTAAACCTTGATCTGGTAACTGACTTTACAGCCTAAATTAAGAAGCCCTGGACTCTCTAATCTCATGGACAATGCAGTGCACTCCCTTCTGATATTTCTTCTCCAGTAGGACATATATCTCCTGTGGCTGGCATATTTTTTTTCCAGAGGGTAATCTGTTACTTTTCTGAGATGGAGCTGGGCCACCCTGAGGGCAGGGTCACCTTCCCACTGCTCTCTGGTTGGCTGACGGGTCAGATGTAAATGTTTTGGAGCCTGCTTATTATTGTAAGAAAAAAGGTGGCAGACACAATTAAAATCAATCACTGAAGCCGAAAGTTATTTCAAATGTTGCTTCTGTCTTCTGCCTGTAAAAATTATGACTATGCTTGACAAAGTCACTGCCAAGGGTTGGGGCCTGGAACTTATACTGTTTGTGCAAGTTCATTATTGTTTTGATTTTGATTTTCCTGGGAAAAATCATTATAAACAGTTCAATTCTCAGAAGCACCCCTACAGTAATAAACATAAACACAGTACTGCACTGAAATCAATCCTGCAGTAACCCAAATGTAACCCCTTGCATCGGAAGTGAAGCAGATGAATGCAGGGGCCCGTCAGTTCTGGCCTGAGTGGAGGTGAAGAAATGGAAGCTCAGGTCTGTCCTAGTCTCAACCTTGACATGCTTTTTGTTGCTGTGGGCAAGACAGTTGTTTAATGCACCCCTTTGTCAGCTGTGAAGGAGGAGCAACACCACTTACTGATTGCTTCACAGGCTGTGCTGTGAAGACTCATGATAATATTGGACATAAATCGATTTTGAGCTATCTGGAAGAAAGTGGCAATGTAAATAAAAGGCATTTGTTCACGAGTTGTGATCCATCCTTAAAGGCTTAAACCGCCAATCTCAGTTTGGCAGCACTGTTCCAGTTAAGCCAGAGCTCCCTTTGAGGAAATCTTGCTGTTGTCTATTCTAGAAGGAGCAAAAAGACTTCTCCAAAACACCAAAGTAGCCATAGGAAGAGTCGTGCCTACTTTTAGCATCGGTGCCAATTATTAAATTAGCATAAATTGTGAAAAGAAGCACAACTCATCACATGAAGTCTTGGTTAAAAAGCCATGTTTTCCACATTGGCTCTATTGAAATATAGAGCACAGCATAGGCAGATGTAAAGAATTCTTGTGTATGTGACTTTTAATTCCTTCACAGGCCAAAATGGGCTTTTCTGGATTTCAGATGTTGGTGATAACAGCTAGCACTTACACTGTCCTTATGATGTGCTGGTCTCCAAGTGACTTACACATATTCTGTCAATTGAGGCTCACAGTAGCCCTGGGTGGCAGATACTGTCATCATCCCTGTTTTACAAATAAGTAAACCCAGGTACAGAGAGGTGAGATAACTTGTCCACGGCCAAGCAGCTGCCAAATGACAGAGCCAGTACATGAACCCGCGCAGTCTGGCTGAGAAATAGAGGTTTCCAGTCTTTTGACCGCTGTCAGGTTTGTTGCATCTGGATCACGCAAGGAAAAAATTCAGTGCAGTGAATGCTCTTTTCTAGGAAGAGAACGGAGACTACACGTATGTGGAAAGAGTGAAGATACCCTTGGATCACGGGACCTTGTTAATCATGGAAGGTGCTACACAGGCTGACTGGCAGGTGAGCGTGTGCGAGTCGTGTGGATTCACTGTCGCGTGGAGGCAGTTTCCTGACTGGCTGAGGGTTAGTAATTTCTAAGTAAATGTGAAAAGTAGGTTCCTTTCATAATGAGCGAGAGGCAATAGTGTGACATTGTTTCCGAGGAGTTTTGATTCTCACTGACAATCGAAATGTACCTCTGCAGCAGCGGTATCTGATGGAACTTTCTGTGATGATGGAAGTATTCTGTGTGGTAGCCACTAGCCATGAGTGACTGTTGACGTCTTAAAAGGTGGCTAATGTGCTATAAAGAACTGAATTTATAATTTAATTTTAATTAATTTAAATCTAAATAGCTTCAGGTAGCTAATAACTATCTCACTGGACCAAAAGTTCCACAGCTAGGCCAGGCCATTTTTAGGCCAGATCATTTCTGTGGTGTGCGTATTAATGTAAAAACACTTAGCATGAGAGTGGAATCACATGCCTCTCTTTGGTCTCATCTATTTATGTTTTTCTTATGATATTTGGAAAAATGGCAGGAGTCTAAGAGGAAGAGCAACAATTACAAAAGATGAAAATATCTCACCGCAGGGATGCTGGCATTGCACAGTGGGGGCGGGGATGGGAATTTGTTTCAGAGAAGGAGACCTTTGTCCACAAGACTATAAAGAACTCATCACTGCTCATTTAAAGGAGGATAAAATGGAAATATTTCTATACTCTTATAAATAAGTCTTAAATTGCTTTGAACTAAAATGTGTGTCTGTGTATTTATGTCAGAGAGCTATGTATATTTCCATATAGCATCGAGTGCCCAAAGAATACCACTCTAGAGAACCGAGAGTAAACCTGACCTTTCGGACAGTTTATCCAGACCCTAGAGGGGCACCCCAGTGATGTGAGATCTTTGAGAGAGAAGCCGCACTGAGACTGAGCAACCCTGCCACTGAGAAGAAACTTCAAGAGGCCGGTTCCCGCTGATCTCGTGGTGTGGCTGTTTGGAAGATGGTGGGGTTTGTTTCCCAGCTCCTATTAAATGAGAGCCAGCAAGCAGTTCATATTGGTAATATGTCTACGGTGGGAATGGTTATCACTAATGACATTTCAAAATTGCATATTATCTTCAGGCAAATTAAAATCCATGTGGCTGTGCTCATGGATGATTTTGTCCATAAGCGGTTTTTCTCCTGCCCTCCCCCACCCCTTCGTTTGAGGAACTGTGAATGGACTTGTGCCTCTGGGGAAAATCTACACATGTTTGTTCCATGTGACTTTAGTGGAGATATAAATATGTATCAGTGACTCTGGAGCCTTCCCTAGGCAGACAGCTGCTGAAACCCAAACAGAGGTGATTTCATCCTGGCTTGTGTGCTGTTGTAATGGAAAGCTGCATGTTCAGGGAACACTGGATTTATCTGAGTCTCCTTGCCTGTCAGTCTTCCTGGGACACACTCAGACAGGTTACAGGCCTCTGAATAAAGAGTCAAGGCAGGATGCTCGAGTCCAGCCACCTGCAAGCAATCACCTGGACTACTTGTAATATGAGAACCCACTGTACCCGTAGAGGGAGGAATAACTGGGTGATGTCATGCGAAGTAGCAGGCTGAAACAGAGGCAGAAGGGCAGCACATGGCCTGCTAATGACAGCTGTTCCACATAGATTAGATCCCCCTGGAGAATCACTTGAGTCATTTAAACCTCAACCAGATAGAAGCGGGAGCAGTCCTGTGGGGAATACACTCAATTGCCCAATAGTTCTTTTCACCTTCCGTTTCAGTAGCCTGATGAGTAAGCCTCTCTTCTGACTCAGTGTTCTCTTACAAACAAGTTCCCAACGTACAAGGGTTAGGCTGTGATGTCACTGAGGTTCCCAAAACAAAACAGAGTGCTGCCACTTATTGCATCATAAAAGCACATGTCTTCTTGACCTCTCGACTCAGGAACAGTGTGCCAGATTCATTCCAAGCCAAGATATAGAAAACCTGAGAGAAAGAAAACGAATTTAAATGGATGAAAATAGGGCAAGAGAGTTAGAGTTCCCCTGTCTGCCTGTGGGGAAAATTTACAGCGCTTTCTTGCTTTCTGTCCTGGTTCCATCCCATGCTATGGGATCGAATCTGTCAGGGTAAAGTGCCGAAGGCTGGGCAGGCCCTACTCAGCTCAGGTGTACTGCCACCCCCGCTACGCTCTGTTCTCTGACAAGCTCTCTGGCTCCTTGCATTGTAGTCCCTATTTTTTTTTTTTTTTAAACATGCTCCTTTCTCTAAGAAATACTAAATGCTTTATAAAATTTGAGCATCACACTAAGCCTTCCAGTGATGGAGTTACAAATCTCCGTGAAAATAAAACGAAGCCTCTTTTTAATTCCAGCTGTTCTTCTACTAAAGCAAACAACACCCGGCCAGGTGGTTTAGCTAGCTTTGATTATAAGCTTGATGCGTGTCACTGGGAAATTTCTCTTCCATTCCTTACAAATGAAAGAACTGGCAGATGGTTCCAAGTCTTCCAGCATCCCTCCCTCCTAATGTAGGGTCATGATCTCCCCTTGCGTCAGCTGAATGTTTGATCTCTTCACTCTGTCACACCCCTGTCAGTCAGGGAAACAAATTCCGACTATACAGCAGACAGGGTGGGCTGCCACCTGGGTTTCTTGGTCTGAAAGCAGCAAATCTTAGGTTTTGTTTCTTGCTGTCACTGTAAGTACCGTATGCCAGAACTGACATTTTTTTCCACCACTGAGATAATGTCCCTTCTGAAACATCAAGTAGGTACTTGCTGTAGAATAAAACTACGGTGTTTAATAATGGACAGGAGTTCCAGACCTGGCTAAAGACAGCCATACTCAGTGACTGCATCAACCTGTTGCTGTGTTTTACTGATGGTAGATCTGAGCTAGGAATTAGGGTAAAGTATTTTTGCTTACATTACATGTAAAGGAGAGGAAGCAAATGTAACAGCAATAGCATGAAGAAAAACAGCTTTGGTTTTTTTAGCTGCCCTTTTTTTTGAGCTTCAGCAGCCTGCAGGGCACTGTCCTTGGAGCTTATATACATGATCCCTAATTTTCCCCACAGCCCTGCAAGAAAGAGATACTATTCCCCTCACAGAGACTAGGAAACTGAGCCTCCGAGAGATTAAGTAATTTAACAGGACTTGTAGTGGCAAAGCTAGAATTCAGACCACAGGTTAGTCCCTAAACCTGTGTGCTTTTTCCTCTGCTGTGCTGAATTTTGGTGGAATCATCTGCTGGGCGTCCCTGGAAGCCTGAGCCTCACTCAGGGCTTGTTCTTGTAGAGCTGGGCACAGCTGACCACAGGCCACCTGTTTGTTTCCTGGCTTTCCCGTGCGCCAGAGCAAGCGTCTGCATCTCATCTCCCCTTAATCAACATCAGCATCCCCCAGTCAGAAACTACTGCTGACTGGACTGGCAGTTGGCCATTTAACTGGGGAAGCTCATTTTTTGGGGACAGAATGCAATTTCTGGTGTTAGACAAATTCTTGGCCAACCTTCCTGGCAGGTGACTTCCTGGCAATATCCTCACCGTATCCAAGCAGATACACTTTGAAACTTTCAGAGGTAAATGAGTTTTCCCCTGTGGTCCCTTCTCCCGCATTCTTACCTGTGAGTACTTTTGCAGACCCTAAATGACACTCAAACTCAGTATGAGGCTTCTTCACAATGTTTGCCACTACCACTACTCCTGTCAGCAGAGAGCCCAAAGAAACAGCTCAGGCTCAACACTAACAATGTCTTTTTTTCACAAGGACAACTTGCCTCCAAGCATGGGTTGGAACAGTATGACACACGGCATCCAATTGTGTCCCCAGTATTGAAATCAGGATCCTCATTGATGCTCCATTAACTAAACCACCAGCTCAGGTGGCATTGATGCTTCCTAATAAGTTTGGGTCACAGCTAATAAACCTGCCATTTCCCTGTGACACCCACTCCCTGCTGCCTCTGTGGCTGACATGAGCCTGCCCTCGTGCATGGCAGGTCTGTCTGGACCCAGTCAGTAACTGGAGCTGTCTCCTGAATTGTGTCATTGGAACCCCAGAAGAGTTAAGTAGGTGCTGCAGCGAGCAGACTGCTCCAGTTGGAGGGTTTCAGAGAAAGTCCCGACAAATGATGGTTTCCTGCCCTGCTGGGAATATTTCTTCCTTAAGTTCTGGCAACTTTTACTTGGCTGCAGAATATCTAAGACCCACTTTGCCTTTTCTGGTCATAAACACTTGTGGTGTTGAATCTGAAGTCTTGATTATTTTTCTTAAGGGTGCCTTTGATAAAGCCGAATGTTTCCATAGTGATGCATTCTGTTTATTTAAATCTTTACTTATACATAATTCCACCCACATACTCTCCTCAGAGGGACCTAATCTACAACTGTCCTCTCCTCGCTCCCCATTTTCTCTTTGGAAGGAACCCCCATATGAGACCCCTGTCAATTTGTGCTGCTGGAATCCATTCTTAGATATGATTGCTGTGTCTGGGTGTCAGTAGGGGAATAACTTGGATGTTTATTTACCAGAGTGAAACACAGACCAATGGTGCCTTTTCCAGCTGGCTTGGTACTCACGCGCCTGCGTATTATAAAGGCCTTCTCCAGCTTGTGTTGGGCTGAGCCATGTTAGCCATAAAGCTGGGGGCAACAGGCAGTGTCAGAGGACAGTGTAGGAAAACAGGATAAATTAGATAGTACCTGGTAGCCAGCACTACCAACAAGATTGTTTTCTCATGAGTTGCTTGGAGCTGGCAGAAGTATGTATGTGAGATGCTGTTAGAATGATTTCTGTGCTATCACTCCCCCTCATTGGAATGGTGATGTCACACTCCCTCAGCACAGGGACAGTCCCTATTCTCATGTGGCCTTCAGGAGTGCAGACGTGCCTTCACTGCTCAGGCAGGGCCCTGGCCTCTGACCCCCCTGACGTTTAGCTCTGGATGCAAATTCTGGTATCCGAAAGGGAGGGAAAGGTGGGAGTCAGGAGGGAGTTTACGGAGTAACTACTCTGTTGTGCTGTTACCTCCATAATCTGATTTATTCCTAAAGGCAATCTTTTGAGGTTGTTTCTAAACACCTAAGGAAGCTGAGGTACCCTGAGAGTTTATCAGATCCTGGGATCCAGTGGCACTGGTGAGCCGGGAGAGCGCTGAGTGGTCAGTTTTGGCAGCAGGCAAGGACTGGGCTGGAGGATGCGCCGTCCCAGCCCTTCGCGGGAAGCTCGGCACAAGCTCGCCGAGGGCCGGGGCGGGAGGAAGTGGGGGGCCGCCGGAGCTGCGGAGCTGCCATCAGCCGCCGCGCAGGAAGGGCGTGGGCGGGCGGCTGTGACAAGCGCCTGCCGCTGTGGCGGCGCCTGCCGGGTCCAGGGCTGCGAGGGGGCTGCGAGGGAGCCGCGAGCCGCTGGGGCTGCGTCTGGCCAAAAGCGTTCCTGAGGCGCTGGTGGCAAGACCCAAGGGCAGAGGCAGGAAGGAGCCCCCCAGCCCCTCGCACCCTGGGAGGGACTGCCCCTTCCTGGGGCCTCCCATGGGAACACCAGCCTCTGCCATCAGTCTGCACTGGGACAATGGCCATGGGATGGCCCAGGCGGTGAATCCACAACCTCCAAAAGCGATTCTGGGTTTGCAGCTGTATCCTCCCTGCCTAAAGAATGTGGGATAGCAGAAGGAAGGATGCCATGGCAACTTCCCAGACTCCGGCCCAGGGGTATTCAGGCTACTGGGACCGCCCAGATAGGACTCAGGAGAGTCAAGGGGAGGAGAGAAACCCCACAGGAGTGTCTTCCTCAGGCCCACTCCCGGGGTGTTTCCTCTGAAAATGCATCAAGGGATTAGCCACCAATTTCTTCCCAGCACCCTCTCTCTCTGACCTTTGGCCTCTGCTCACCTGGAGTGAGAGGGAAGGGGAGACAGCTAGCCTGGAGGTAAAAATCTAGTGGAGATTTTTACCTGGAGATCTGAATGTGGGGCTTCCCCTGCACTCTGCCCAGGGAGCCCTCCTCTCCTCTTGCTCTGGGAGGAGGTGGCCAGAGAAGAGAGCTGGTGAACTCTTATTTGCACACTGCCCTTTTTCTCCCCAAAGCCCTGTGGGACTGTCAATTAGGGACCACTCTCCCCATTGAACAGATGAGAAAACTGAGGAGTTAAGTACATAGCATCTAAAGGCCAGCCACCCAGGGAATGAGGCAGCACCAGGATGAAGACCCATATCGAGTGCCTTGGCCAGTGTTCTCTCTGCCACCCTGGAGACCTGGTGACAAAAGGGAACACAAGGGACAGACAGCCCCAGAAGGTCACAGTGCCTTATTGGGGCAGCCCTCCAAGCAGTGGTATCGACAGTGTCTGCACCGCACCAGCCAGGTGGCTCGATATGTGGCCAGGACCCCTGCTGCAGCGTGCGGTAGCGTCGTCCTGCTGAATATAGCGTGAGCTGAGCTCTGCACCAGCCGCTGAGGGGAATGAGCTGGACAACCTCGGGCAAGACTGGCCCCCTCTTATAGTCACAGTCCTACCTGCAAGGGTAGAATTAGGGAGCAGCTCTGGCACCCCCACCCCTAGCCCAGCCTCCACATCTGTCAGAATCACTGCCAGAGCCCTGGTGGGGAGGGAGGTGGAAAGAGCCTCAGCTTGAGTCAGGCGGACCTGGGCTCTGCCCTTACTAGCAGGGTCACCTTGGACCAGTCCGCCTCCAAGCCTCAGTTTCCTCATCTGGGAAATAGACTCAGGAGCAGCCCCTTCCTGGGGGTCTTGTGAGGCTTGAGATCTTGCATGTAAACACGCCTGACAGTAACATACTTAGTAAACAATTATTTTAAGTGCACCATTTCACATGCCCTGCTAACCCCAACCTTAACCCTTACTCTGGGTGGGCAGTCCCACTCTGGCTGGCGGATGGCCCTGTGACCCTGCCTTTCCCCTTGGCAGGCTCCCCTGGTGCCCTCGAGTCTGTCACAGTCAGCAAGGGGGGCCCCAGAGGCTTTCGGGAGGATGGCCAAAATGAAAATTGCGCACGACTGGAGCTGATCATATTAAGATCCCACTGCACTTAAGCTTCCCCTCGGAAGTTCTTGAGAACAAACTGAAGAGGGTTCCCAGATGCCAAAGTGGCCTCGTGTTGATGCTCAGCTCGCTCTCGGCAGCCCCGCCACATGCTCCCCAGGTAATTGGTGTCCTAATGCACCGGCCCTGGACAGATTCCAGGATTCCACCACCTTGTCCTTTGAGGCCAGTTCTTGACGTCTCCTAGCCCAGTGACTGTGTCACGATCAGGCTCCGATGTACCCCTGCCAGTCTGCATTGTTTTCTTGTTCTTGCAGGCCATTTCTAAACTCTGTACAGAACGCCTTGGCCTGGAAGATTAAACAAGATTGCCAGACTGGAATTCTGTTCCAAACCAGGGCTTTAATGTCTAGAGATTGTGTGTCAGATGCAGTGGGGGAGATATATAAAAGGAAGACACAATACCTTCCATTGCAGATAGAAGTAAAGCAACATGGCTTTTATTTTCTTTTGCAAAATTACTTCTCTCTCCTTACTACAAAAGGAGTATGTGTTCTTTGCAAGAAGTCAAAGATAAAAAGAAAAACAAAAAGCATTAGCAACTTCACATGCTAGAGATGACAACTCTTCAGATTTTGTAGTATATTTTTTCTACACAGTTGTGTGCTTTTTTAAAAAAAACGTAACATCATACTGAGCTTACAGTCTTATACCGCCTTTTTTATTTGTGTATGTTGGAGCATGACATTAATTATTCTACATTATTTTGAGTGGCTACATAGTGTTGTATATAATCGAATTTTTATTTAACCAGTTCTTTGTGGTGGGCATTTGGATTGTTGCTGATGTTGTTGTTGTTTTTGCTGTTAGTAAGCCTTCTGTTGATTTCGGAAATCTTAAGAATGAATGGAGGGAGGAAGGGAAGTATCACAGCTGAGAGTTCAGATTTTGACCTCATTTGGACCTCAATTCAAATCATAAAAAGAACAGGTACCACTTTTATAGAGCCGGGATATATGCCAGGCACTGCGTTAAGTGCTTATACATATCTTGATATCTGATTTATTAATCCTCTCAATAGCCTGTGGATGAGGCACTATTTTTGTTCTCATTTTACAAGTGAAGAAACAGAGGCATAGCACCTCCACGTATCAGCAGCATGGCTGTGTGCAGCTGTCCTGTAGCTAAACCTTTGTGCACATCTAGGATTGTTTCTTAGAATAAATTCTTAAAAGTGGGGTTGCTGTCCCAGACCAGGAAGGCTATGCATATTTTAAGGCTTTGAATATGTAATGTAAATGGCTTTCCAGAAAGGGTATGCCGATTTATCCTCCTACCGACA